CTTGTCGAATAATCATAGTAATAACAGCAGTAGAAATATAGCTAATTGACTTTTTTGAATTCTCACCTTTTAAGCATAGATTTAATTTTGGGAAACAGCCAAATTTGGTGACTCCTAATCCATTTTTAAAAATAGACTTTATTTCTAGGACAGTTTCAGGTTCACAGCAAAATGGAACAGAAAGTACAGAGAGTTCCCATATACCCCTTGACACCTCCCCACCCCACCCCGACAACCACAGTGGTACATTTGTTAAAATTCATGAACCTACATTGACACATCACAATCACCCAAAGTCCAGAAGTCCATAGTTTACATTAGTGTAACTAATTACTCTTGGAGTCGTACATTCTATGGATTTTGCTACATGTATAATGACATGTATCCACCATTACAGTATCACACAGAGGGGTTTCACTGCCCTAAAATTCCTGTGCTCTGCCTGTTCATCTATCCCTTCCCACCTTGCCCCTGGCAACCACTGGTCTTTCTACTGTCTCCATATATTTTACCTTATCCAGAATGTCATACAGTCGGAATCATATAACATGTAGCCTTTTCAGATTGGCTTCTTTCACTTAATAATATGCATCTAAGTTTCTTTGATGTCTTTTCATGGCTTAATAGCTTATTTCTTTTCAGCAGTGAATAACATTCCACTGCCTGGATGTACCACAGTTTATTTATCCATTTACCTACTGAAGGACATCTTGGTTGCTTCCAATTGTTGGCAATTATGAATAAAGCCACTATAAATATCCATGTGCAGATTTCTGTGTGGACATAAGGTTTCGACTCCTTTGGGTAAAATGTCAAGAGCATGGTTGCTGAATTGTATAGTAAGAGTATGTTTAGTTTTGTAAGAAATCGCCCCACTGTCTTCCAAAGGGCTGTACCGTTTGGCATTCTCACCAGCAATGAATGAGAAATCCTTTGGCTCTGCATGCTTGCCAGCATTTAGTGTTGTTAGTGTTCCAGGTTCTGGCCATTCTAATTGGTGTATAGGGTATCTCGTTGTTGTTTTAATTTGTAATTCCTTGTTGACATATGTAACATCTTTTCACATGCTTATTTGCTATCTGTATGTCTTCTTTGATGAGGTGGCTGTTTGGATCTTTTGACCATTTTTTATTCAGGTTGTTCTTTTTTTTATTGTTGAGTTTTAAGAGTTCTTTATATATTTTGAATCACAGCCTTTTGTCAGATATGTCTTTTGAAAATATTTTCTCCCATTTTCTGGCTTGTCTTCTTATTCTCACGATCCTAATCCATTTTTAGGGTTAGGAGGCAGAGTCAAAAAAAGGAAAGAAATGGAATAGTGTGCAAGATAGAAAAACACCTGGATAAGGAGAGCAAATTGGTAGTTAACAGAGGGGAAGGGCGTGTGGGGGGGCAAAAGGGGTAAAGGGGCACATATGTATGCTGATGGATGAAAACTAGACTGTTGTTGGTGAACACGATGCAGTCTATACAGAAACTGATGTATAATAATGTACACCTGAAATTTACACAGAGTTACAAGCCAATATGAACTCAATAAATTAATGTTTTTAAAAAAGAAGTGGAGTAGGAGACAGCATGGTGCTGGATTACCCAAATGGAGGACTAAGCCTAAGTTCAGGGCATCACTAGAAAGGAGTGTCAAAAACATGAGAAAAAGAAAGTTTTGAAAGAATCTGATGTCAGGAAAACCTAATAATGTCCACCTTTGGTTATAAAAGAGTAGTTGGCACAGGCCTTGCCCTCCCTCTAAGCAACTACAAACTGAAGAAAATATATGGTGTAACTGTTTCAGGCATTGGGCAAAAGGTAGTGTAGGACTATGATTGTGGAGAGGAGGGAAATGCAGGAGGTAAGCCTCACGATCATTCTAGATTTCCGCAGGGAGGTGGAGCCCAAGTGGAAAGGTGTCTTGCTGAGCTGAGGAGGCAGAGTCTGGATTAGTGGGCTGTTGAAGCAGCTAAAAATCGAGGGGCAGACAACTGAAGAAGAGGCAGCTGTGTGGGGGGAGGGGATTCCGGAAGTCTGCACGGGGGCTCTGCACGGGCCCTTGACTGAGGACTGCGCTGCACAGGCTCAGGGCAGGCTCTGCGAGGCCTCGCAGAGGTGATCTGTTGCGAGGCTGGGAGGCGAATGGTGACGCTAGAGACTGAGCAGTTGTGGGCGATGGTGGTGTTCTGGCCTAGCCAGAGAGGAGACACTTCCATGAGCAGCTTGGACTTTCAGGTGAAACTCCAGAAAAGACATGATTTAAGAGTCAGGAATATGTCTTAGTTTAAGGGCCGAGCCCTAAGATTAAAGCCCAAATGAAAATATGCCCATTCGAATAAAGAGTAAAACCAAGGCTGACAGGGCCAAAAGGACATGCCTGTAATGTAACTGCCTACCAGAAAAACAATTAATGCCCTTTAAAGGAAGACAATGTGGTGCAGATTTCCAAAACATATCACCCACAATGTCCAGCATACAATAAAGAAATGATTAATGTGAAAAAGCAGGGAGATTTGATCAAGCAAATCAAAAACATAATCAATAGAACATGCTCCAAGATAACCTAAATGTTGGAACTAACAGAGAAGGATGTTAAAGCAGCTATTATAAATATTATTGAGGTCTTAAAGGAACATACTGTCATAAAGAGTAGATGTATGGGAAATCTCAGCAAAGCAATGGACACCACAAAAATAACCTAGTGCAAATTCTAGAATGGAAAAGTAAAATATCTGAAATGAAAATTTAACTGTAGGAGATTAACTTCAAATTAGAGACTTAGGAAGAAAACATTAGTAAACCTCAAATCAGGGCAATAAATGGTGCTGGCCCCATGGTGTAGTGGTTCAATTTGCGTGCTCCCTCTGGCAGTCCAGTGTTCGTGAGTTTGGATCCCAGGCATGGACCTACACACCACTCTTGAAGCCATGATGTGGCAGCAACCCACATAACAAAATAAATGAAGATTGGCACTGATGTTAGCTCAGATCTTCCTCATGAAAAAGAAAAATCAGGTCAACAGAAATGATGCTATCTGAAGAATAAAAAGAAAAATGATTAACAAAGCCTCCATAACCTATGGGACAGTATCAAACAAGCTAACCCTGTATTTAATTGGAGAGAGAATGGGGACAAAATAATTAAAGACACAAAGTCCAAAAATTTGCCTAAATTTGGAGAAAAACATCAGGTTACAAATCTAAGAAGCCTAGAAAACCCAAAGCAGGATTAAACAACAAAAAAAGACAAGGGGCTGACCCCATGGCCAAATGGTTAAAGTTCTGCTTGCTCTGCTTTGGTGGCCCAGGTTCATGGGTTCCGATCCTGGGCGTGGACCTACTCCATTCCTCAGCCATGCTGTGGAGGCATCCCATATAGAAAATAGAAGAAAGCTGGCACAGATGTTACCTCAGAGATGTTAGCTCAGTTTGCTTCCTCAAGTAAAAAGTAGAAGATTGGCAACAGAGGTTAGCTCAGGGAGAATCTTCCTTACCAAACAACAAAAAAAAGACACCTAGGCATATAATAGTTAAAATGTTGAAAATCATAGTTAAAGGGACAATCTCAAAACCCACCAGAGGAAATAAGATACATTACCTATAGAGGCACACCAATACAAACAACAGTTCCTGTCTCATCAGAAACAATGGAGGCCAGTAGACAATAGAATGACATCTTTAAAGTGTTGAAAGGAAAGAAAGTCAACCTAGAATTATATATCCTGTGAAATTATCCATCAAAACGGAGCATGAAATAAAAACATTTTCAGATAAACAAAAGCTGAAAGAATTCGTTGTCAGAAGGCCTGCACTACACGACATGCTGGAGTAAACTTGTATCCGTAGGAAGGAATGAAGGGTACGGGCAATGGTAACTATGTGGGGAATATACCTATCTTTTCACATATAACTATATTTTCTTCTTCTTCATTTTCTTCAAAAGTTAACAGACTATTTAAATTAAATGTAATAATATGGTACTGTTAAAAGATAAACCGAGGCACATTAAATTTTTGAAGAGCTTATTTGAGCAAACATCGATTCAAATCAGGCAATGCTGCACTGGAAATGGTTAGGGGCGCTCTACTGGTAGGAGGTAGAGGAAAGTCTTTTATTATTTAATTGGCTATAGCTTAAGCAGTTGTCTCGTTTGGGAAAGCCTGATTGGCTATTTGTGATTGTTTCTTCTTAAGTTTGCTTTCTTAAACTTGAGGCAGTTATAGGGTTTGACTCCGGGTGAGTTTTAGGCTTGCTTATGTTGGCTGCCAAAGCATTAGAGTCACTTCAGTCTATCATCTCCTTGTTAACGACTTTCAGAAGAGTATGGGGTTTATTATATATGTGCATGTAAAATATATGACAACGATAGCAAAAGAGGTGGTAAATAAAATTTTAATGTAATAAGATTCTGATATTTTATATGAATTATTCAATACTAATTCTAAATAGACTGTAAGTTAAGATGCATATTATAATCCCTATAACAACCACTAGAAATATAACAAAAAGAAATATAGATAAAAGGCCAATAAGAGGAAATAAAAATGAATTGTAAGGTGTATTTGATTAATCCAAAAGAAGAGTGGAAAAGAGGAAGATAGGAACAAAAACCAAAGAGCAAATAAAAAACAAGTAGCAATTTGGTAGACTTAAAATCAATAAGTACATTAAATACAAATGGACTAAACACTCTAATTAAAATGCTGCAATTGTGAGACTGGATAAAAAAGCAAGAGCCAACTATATTCAGTCTATAAGAGACTCATTTTAACGAGAAGTTGAAAGTAACAGGATAGTAATAGGATATGTAAATAGAAAGATAAGAAAGCTACTGTGCCTATATTGCTATCAGACAAAATAGATTTTAAGAAAAAAGATTATTATGAGAGATAAAGGGAGACTTTTCATAACTATAAAAAGGTTAAATAGCAAGAAATACATAAAATCCTTAATGTGTGTGTACTTGTATTAGTTTCCTAGGGTTGCCATAACAATGTGCCACAAATTAGGTGACATAAAAAAACATTTATTCTCTCACAGTTCTAGAGGCTAAAAGTCTGAAATAAGGTGTCAGAAGGGTCATGTTCCCTCTGGAACCTGTAGGAGGGACTTCGTTCTTGCGTCTTCCTGGATTATGATGCTTGGCCAGCAGTCTTTGGTGTTTCCTGGCTTGCAGGTACAGCACTTCAATCTCTGCCTCCATTGTCACATGGTGTTCTCTCCTGATGTGTGTTTGTCTTCACATGGCATTTTCTTAAGTCATATTCCATTAGAGTTCACCTTAATGACACCATCTTAATCAATTACATCTGCAAAGACTCTATTTCCAAATAAGGTCATATTCACAGATACCAGGTGTTAGCACGTCAACATATTTTTGGGGGGATACAATTAAACCCCTAATAGCACCTAATAACAAAGCTTCACAATACATGAAGAAAAAAGGGACAAATACAAAGTGAGAAATAGGCAAATTCATTATCACATTGAAGAAATTGACATGTCCTCTCAGAAATTGGTAGAACTACACAGAAAAGTTGAGAAGGATATAGAAGATCTGAACCTTGGTATAATCGAGATTTATACATTCAACAACTGCAAAACACATTTTTTTTTAAGGAAGATTGTCCCTGAGCTAGCATCTGTGCCCATCTTCCTCTATGTTATATGTTGGATGCCTGCCATAGCATGGCTTGATAAGCAGTGTGTGAATCTGCGCCTGGGATCTGAACTGGCGAAACGCGGGCTGCCAAAGTTGAGCACGTGAACCCAACTGGTATGCCACCAGGTCAGCCCCAACACATACGGTTTTTTTTAAGTGCATTAGCAATGTTCACTAAGATAGACCAAATGCTGAGCAATTAAATAAATCTCAACATATTTCAAAAGACAGACATCTTAGATAGTAGAGCTGACTAAAATGGAATTAAATTAGAAATCCATTACAATAAGATATCCAGGAAAGCTCCAGATTTTTGGAAACAAAGCTGTATCCTTCTAAGTAGCTAATGTATCAAAGAAAAGATTATACTCATGTGCTACATAATGACATTTCAGTCAATAATTGACACCATATATGATGGTGGTCCCATAAGATTAATACCGTATAGCCTAGGTGTATAGTAAATGTTACCATCTAGGTTTGTGTAAGTTCACATAATGACAAAATCATCTAACAATGCATTTCTCAGACTGTATCCCCATCATTAAGTGATTCATGACTATTCAATGGAAATTAGAAAATATTTTGAATGGAACGATAATGAAAACACTTGTGGAATATAATTAAAGCAGTGCTTAGAGAGAAGGTTATAGTTTTAAACACCTATATTAGAAAAGAAGAAAGTTTAACAATAATGATCTAATGTTGCAACTTAATAAACTTGGAAATAAGAACAAATTAAACCAAAAGTAAATAGAAGGAAATAATAGATAAGAGAAGCAATCAATGAAAAAAAGAGCAAATGACAGAGGAAATTAAAGCCAAAAGTTGGTTCTTTGAAAGAAGTAATAAAATTAATGATCTATTAGATGGATTAGTCAAGAAAAAAGAAAAGAAAACACAAATTCCTCATATCAAGAACGAAAGAGGAGTTATTACTGCAGATTCTACTGACATTAAAAGAATAATATGATGACATTAGCAGAAATGGTAGAAAAAGGACCTCTGAAAATTCTACCTCCATAAAACAAAAGTAACAAAAATTATCAGGATCAACTTTTTCAGAAATCTGGAAATTAGGAAAGAGCTTGCAACAATTCAGGGAACGCTTATTCAAGAAAAGTGGCCGAATCTTGGTAAGAACAGCAAGCCTTGTGGTGTTTTAACTTTCCCTATTCTCATTGCCCCCACCCCAAACTCCACGGTGTCTTGAAAACCAATAGTCTGCAAACAACTCCAAGCCCTTGGGAAACTTACTGGCTCTTGGCATTTAAGGAAATGTCTATCCAGTCATTAGCCGATCACCAAATTAACTGAGTTAGACTTTAGTAGCGACACATGACACAGAAGACAGAGTTTACAGAATTAATTCAGCAAAGTCACTAAGCAAGTAACAACAGCAACAAACAGCCACCACCACAAACCCTGGGGAGAGGGGAATCTGGTGTCCACAGTGCTAAACTGTATTGTCTTAAGTGTCCAGTTTTGAACAAAAATTTGTGACACATACAAAGAAACAAGAAAGAATGGCCCATAGAAGAAGAAAGCAATCAGTGGAAACTGCCCCTGAGGAAGTGCTGATGTTGGACTTACTAGACAAAAGCTTTAAATCAGCTGTTTTAAATGTGTTCAAAGAGCATTAGGAAACCATGTCTAAAGAAATAAAGGAAAGTATGAGAATGATGTCTCTCTAAATAGAGAATAACAGTAAGAAGATAGATTTTTTTTAGAAAAATGAACCAAATGTAAATGCTGGAGTTGATAAGTACAGTAACTGAAATGAAAAATTCACTAGAGGGGCTCCACAGCACATTTGAGCAGGCAGAAGAAGGAATTCATGAATCTGAATATGGATCAACTGAGGTAATCCAGTCTGTGAAATGGAAAGAAAAGGAATAAAGAAAACTGCACAGAGCCCCAGAGACCCGGGCACACCAACAATCCTACCAACATCCACATGATGGGAGCTCCTGAAGGAGAGGAGAGAGAGGGAGGGCACATAGAATGTTTGAAGAAATAACAAAGGAATGAAATAGTAGACTAGAAAAAACTTAATACAAAAGAAGGCAGTAACGAAGAAAGAGAAGGGCAAAATGATGTAAGACATAAAAATAAATAGCAAATGGCAGATATAAATCCTACCTTATCAATAATTCAGTGTAAACGGGTTAAATGCTCCAGTTAAAAGGCAGAGATTGGTAGGATGCATAAAAAACATGATCTGACCCTATGCTGTTGTTAAAACCAAAAGCAAATGGAGACCAGTCTTGAAGGGTCTCTGAGTTGACAAGTCAGTTTAGTCACTAATTTTCTTAATTACCAATTACTATGAAGACACTGCCTTCTCACTATACAAGCTGCTTTGTAACACTATACCTGTGGGCTTCATTCCATGTTTTGGTTTGAGTGCTGCCGGTTTGCAAACTATCTTTTTGTGGTGTGCACAATAAATTTTTACTAATTACTATTTCAGCGATTCCTTGGTTTTATTTTGGCTATTTCTGAACCTTTGACCTTGTCTATACGAGGCATAATTTAGATTCAAAGACACTAATAAGTTGAAAGTAAAAGGATGGAAAAAGACATACCACGCAAACAGTAACCGATAACAAGAGAGACCACATTTGGGTAATAAAACGAGTCTCCATAAATTTCAAGAGATTGACATAATACCAAGTGCATGCTTTATCCACAATGGAGTGAGTGTAGCATGACAGGTCTTAGTAAATATCTACTGCATGGAATTTGAAAACATAGTCTGTCCCTCCTAGTCATCCTCACTGTCTAACCAGCGCTTCTAAACTTCTCCGCCTGCAGAGGGACTTCGACAAACGTTCCGGCGCGCATCACCAGGCCACCTCACCCACAAAAGCTAGCTCACAGGGGACTTCATGGTCTTATTTCCTGGAAACTGCTCCATCCCTCCCCTTGGGAAGCAGCACTTTCTAGCAGGAAATGCTTGGCTTCTGGAAACAGATAGTCTGGATGCCAGTATTCATTATCGTCATAGTTATTTAGTTTCTCTAAGCCTCAGTTTTCTCATCTGTAAAACGAGATAATTACACCTACCTCAAAGGGAATTAAAGGAGATACTGTGCCTAAAGCCTAATTTCCTACTCTCCCCACCCCCACTCTCCTGTCTTCCTTCTCCCCATGCAAACACTACCACCACAATATGAGAGAACAGATGGGGTAAAGGGTCCTGGAGGAACAGAGGTAGGACAGCCAGGAGTTAGCATGCTGAGTAAAGCCATCCTGAGCTGGAATCCGGTCCTACTTTGTCTAAAATATGTGACACCCATCCCCCTCCGTAAAATGGATGTAATGACTTCTGTCTTGTAGCGCTTATAGAGATTCTGAGAGAGAATATGTGTGACTTGTCTAGCACACAGTAGGTGCCCCATAAGTGGTAGCTGTTACCTTTAGTGGTAGTCTAAGACATTTTTTCTCATTTTTTGCTGCCCACCCTGTCCCCACTGCCAACTCCAGCTAACTCCTCCCAAAACACTGTCTTTTTCTTTGTCCCCCATCCCCTCTCTTGAACACTTCTCACCTCCTGTACACCCACTTTTCCTGCATCCAGGCCAGAGGGGGAAAAACACAGCCTGAAAAATGAAAGAAAAAAATCTAAACATACAATTTTCAGAAAAATCTGTAATGCCAACATTATTTTTTGAGTGCATGTGTGTATAAATGCAAGTGTGTATGCTGAGAGAAAACCTTTGTTAAACCGGAATGTCTCCAAACCGCAGCGAAGTAGAAATGGAGAAAAAAAAAGCCTGTTACATGGGAGTATGGGAAGAAATCACCAAATTTAAGGATAAGTGTGTGATTATGGACTCCAGCCTATAGAGATCAGGGATCGTATGCCAATACGCCAGAGCCCAGGAGCAGGAAACAGGAAGGAAGGATTTAAAAAGTAAGAGAAAGTTCGTCGTTTAACTGTTGCTCCGGTTATTTGATAAGGCGGGTCCTGATATGACAGCCTGGCCCGCGGGGGCGGTGGGACGTCTCCGGTCTGGCTGAGTTCTCCGAAGGAAGGGACTTGCTGCAGGCGCCTTAGTGCAGAAGCCGGGCTGGATCCTGCCTCTGACCCCGGGATCCAGGGTTCTCCACCCGACGCGTCAGTTTCCTCATCCGCAGAGACACCCTAGGAAGCCTCCTGGGGGGTCGGAGGATCATCTGAAACCGCGCTCAGCGCCCCGTTAGTTCGACTCGGACCGCAGAACCTTGGCTCCCCGGGTACCCTGACAGGCCCGCCCCACCCCCTCGCCCATCCTTCCCCCGCCCCGGCCCGCCCTTTGCCCTCAGGTGACTTTCTGAAAGGTAGTGGGGACCTGCCCTCCGGTCGCTCAGTTTCGTTTCCTGGCGACCCGGGTAGACAGTGCAGCAGTCGCGGCCGTGGTTCCAGCGCGTCCCCTCGTTCGCCCCAGGAGAACCATGACGGAGCAGTTTACCCTGGCCGAGGAGCTGTCGTGCTCCATCTGCCTGGAGCCCTTCAAGGAGCCGGTCACCACCCCGTGCGGCCACAACTTCTGCGGGGCGTGCCTGGACGCGTCGTGGGCCTCCCGCGGCGCGCCGTACGGGTGCCCGCAGTGCCGCACCGTCTACCAGGCTCGGCCGCAGCTGCGCAAGAACACGGTGCTGTGCGCGGTGGTGGAGCAGTTCCTGCAGGCGAAGCTGACCCCGGAGGAGCTCCCCGATGGCTGTACACCGCCCGCCGGTGGCGCCGCCCACACCCGGGTCAAGGCCGGCGCCAAGACCCCCGCCAAGGTCTCTGACCCCGTCGCCCAGGTGATCTGCGACCACTGCCTGAAGGAGGCCGCTGTCAAGACGTGCCTCATGTGCATGGCCTCCTTCTGCCAGGAGCACCTGCAGCCGCACCTCGACAGCCCAGCCTTCCGGGACCACCCGCTGCAGCCGCCCATCGGAGACCTGATACGCCGCAAGTGCCCCCAGCACAACCGGCTGCGGGACTTCTTCTGCCCAGAGCACGGCGAGTGCATCTGCCACATCTGCCTGGTGGAGCACAAGAGCTGCTCGCCTGCGCCCCTGAGCCAGGCCAGCGCCGACCTGGAGGTAGGGGTGGTGGGTGAGGGCGCAGAGGGGCAGCCTGGGCCTGCTGGGCCTGCTGGGTTGTGCCACTCTGGCATGCCGGCATACCCTGGATCGCCTGGGTTCCTCGCTGGGCCAGGAACGTCCCCGATGTCACAGTAGAAAGGGGCTGGGAGAACATACAGCACTGCTCTCTGCCGCGTGGCCCATCCCCACCCTCTACTCCCCATTTTGCGCAGGGGACCAGCAAAGACACAGATGATGCTTGCCTTAAGCCTGGTACTTGTCTGATGGTGGTTGGTAGAGGGTTTTGAACGTCGACTATGAGCCCTGGAGGTTCATGCCTCTGTTCCCTCATTAAAACCTGGCAGCACATGAGGTGGGTATAATTAGTTCCATTTAGCAGTTGAAGAAATGGAGGTCCAGAGCTAAGCCAGTAAGAGGCCATGTGGGCACTGGGACCCCAGCTGGTTCCACTCCAGTTTGCGTTTCTCCCCATGGACCAGCCTGCTGTCCGAGTGTGCAGAGTCCAGAGCATGGGACATTCCTGGAGGTTTGAGGTCACGTGAGCAAAAGCCTGTGGTCAGCTGGAAGGTTGCAGTGACCAGAGAGGATGGTGAGGAGAGGGAGGGTCGGCAGAGTCCCCAGAATCCCTGGATGTGACCCCAGGTGGAGACGAACTCTTGCACCATAGAGGCCTCCTTCCTGGCAGTGCGACTTGAGCCCAGGATGTGGCCCCTGGGTCCGAGTGGTCATCAGCCAAGGAGGGAGGTGGGACCAGGAGGATTGCTAAGGGGCCTTCCGGGTCTGTGATGATCGGAGTGGTTTGGGGGATCGGAATTTCCCTGTGGGCCCAAGGCAGAGGCTGGAAAGGTGTAATCAGACTGCGTTTGCTCTGTCAGTCTAGGCTCCTAAGCGTGGCCTGATTTCCTTTCGTTCTTGCAGCAATGTCAGGGAGAACAAGGGCTGTCCTTGTGTTGTCAAAGGAGACGTGAGGCCTGCGGGAGGTTTGCGGTGGCGCCAGGACGAGGATGCAGGCCCTGCTCCCGTCTGGCCATAGCCCTTCCCCAGCCTGGTCTGCTTCTCCTGGTCTGAGCTGGGTTCCTCTAGACTTGTTCCCCGAGTCTCAGGAGCCAGACCTCCAGGTATGGCCTGAAAGGTCACCTCTGAGACACAACAGAGTTGACATCAGGTGCAGCCACCTGGGTCTCCCCCGTCACCGGGCAGAACCTGCCTGGCCTTTGGAGCCAGGAGCCCCGCTCTGCCTCACATCAGCCTGTGGTTTAGGGCAAGTGATGGCAGTTCTCTGAGCCTTGGCTTCCTCATCTGTGAAATGAGGTTAATGACGTGCCCTCCCTTCCTCCAAGGTGGTTGGGAGCCTCTGGAGGGACGAGCTGTGTGGTGAGTGTTCCGTGTCAGGCCCAGTGTGAGGCAGCGTGGCTGGTCGACCCGGGCTCCGAGCAGAGCTGGATGTTGAGGCCTGGGTTTGAATTCTGGCTCTGCTTCCTAGCTGGGACATCCTGAAAGCGGGTGACAGTAGTCCCTATCTCAGAAGGTATGGGCAGGATTAGATGAGGCATCTATAGACAGCGTAGGCAGCAAACACTCCATAAGAACCGCCACCGTCATTTCTGCTACTCAGGCCCAGGGGAGAGGACAGCTTTCTGGGCGGAGTAGGTCAGGCTGCCCAGGTCTTCTTTGCCTCAGCCCCTGAGGACCAGGGCAGCCTAGCTTCCGCCGAAAGGCCCTTCTAGGAGTTCTTATCCATGGAGACAGAAGGCAAGTGTGGGCAGGAGGGCCCTTCTCGGCCTGGCCCGGAGCCTCCACTCTTTCTCAGCCTCCAGGGCCGGGAGCCTGCAGTCGGTGCCCAGTTTATTTGTGTGCCCTATACACTTGGCTTTTTAATCCTCGTCTTCCCCTGCCATCTCCCGCCTTGCTGCTGCTCACTGCTGGTGGCAGAGCCAGGTCCAGCTGGGCAGAGCCCCAGCTGTGGGTGGCCGGCCTGTCTCAGCCCCTGGTGTGGGGTGGACTTAGGACTCTGGTGCCTCCCATGTGGAGGCCCCAAGCCCCCAGTCCATGAAGGATCCTCAGACTTTATAAAGTTCTCTACCATTGATTGAGAGATTGTCATGTCTGTCGAAGTCCTCGGGCCACTTTCCTTTTGCGTGGAGCTGTGAGGGCCCCTCCCTACCATCAGGGGGCTGTCCTGTGCATTTGATTAATTGTGGGTAAAATCTTTTGAAATAGTAAGGTTCAGGGGTGCATTGCTAACAGTGACTTTTGGAGGTGCAACAGTTCTCAGGCCCTGGGTGTTCTGGAGTCTCTTCCAGCTCTGAGACCTTCAAGGCTGGATCTGGCTGGGCCTAGCCTTCTGCCTTTGGCCCATAGTTTATCTTGGCCACTGTTAGAGGCCCGGTCAGAGGGCGTTGTCACAGAGGTTGAATCTGAAACATCCTGTGTGACTTGGGCCTTTGGGGTGGGGTTAGTGTGGCCTTAGTTTCTGTTTTTGGCCCTACAAGTGACTGTCACTGGGTTGTTCAAATCCAGAGTCAAGGTCAGGTTCAGCCCTGAATGCTCGAGTGGAGTGGGAGAGGCAGGAAAGTGGAGGGGAGGGCCACAGTATGTTGAGTCAGCTAGTTAGGGGAAGTTCAAGTTTTTTTTCTAGAAATTTCCAGCATTCTCAGTTGGGACCTGTGCCTGTAATTGTAAGGCCGGGCTCATATTTTCTTCTTCTTTTTTTTGTTTTATTGAGTTAATGATAGGTTACAATCTTGTGAAATTTCAGTTGTACATTATTGTTTGTCAGTTGTGTTGTAGGTGCACCACTTCACCCTTTGTGCCCACCCCCCACCCCACCTTTCCCCTGGTAGCCACTAATCTGTTCTCTTTGTCCACATTTTAAAATTCGTCATATGAGTGGAGTCATACAGAGATTATCCTTCTCTAACTGGCTTATTTCACTTAACATAATTCCCTCAAGGTCCATCCATGTTGTTGCAAATGGAATGACTTTGTTCTGTTTTACAGCTGAGTAGTATTCCCTTGTATATATGTACCACATCTTCTTTATCCATTCATCTGTTGATGGGCACTTAGCTTGCTTCCATGTCTTGGCTATTGTAAATAATGCTGCAACGAACATTGGGGTGCATAGGACTTTTGGAATTGCTGACTTCAAGCTCTTTGGATAGATACCCAGTAGTGGAATGGCTGGATCGTATGGTAGTTCTATTTTTAATTTTTTGAGGAATCTCCATAATGTTTTCCATAGTGGCTGCACCAGGTTGCATTCCCACCAGCAGTGTATGAGGGTTTCTTTTTCTCCACAACCTCTCCAGCATTTGTTCCTATTAGTTTTAGATATTTTCGTCATTCTAATGGGTGTAAGGTGATATCTTAGTGTAGGGTTGATTTGCATTTCCCTGATGATCAGCGATGATGAGCATCTTTTCATATGCCTATTGGGTAAGGCCAGGCTCCTGTAACACGAGTTAATAGTGATGTGACCCCAGGCAAGCCACCGAATTGCTCTGTACCTCAGTGTCCTCATCTGTAAGGGTGGGGGCCTCCTGCCTCCTGTGTTGTCCTCAGCCTTAAATAAGTTAATCCATGGAAAGCGTTAGAGCGATGGCTATAGTAAGTCCATGATAAACACTGGCTCTATTCTTATGGTGCTGGTGATTTTCCTTCCCTTTTCTAAGTGCCAGTATTCCGTGAGCGGGGGGTAGGACACTCAGCTGTTGATTATGAAAATGTATAGGAATTCTGTGAGGCCTCGGATGATATCCTCTTCCTTCCTGCATCATTTACCCTTGTTTCTGGAGGCGACTAGGGGCCTAGAGCTTCTGAATCACTTTGATTCAGTTTCAGGGATTGAGCTGACTGGGGGCTGTTCTACCGCTGGCTCTTCCTTGTCCGAGGGTGCAGCTCATGGAGGTACCCACCTGTGGGGCTTACCGAGTGAGCCGTGGACTCTGATTTTTTTCCCTCCGCTTCCTGGCTTCTGGAATCGGCAGATGGCCCTGGGAGAGCATCCCAGATGCTCGGCTTATCTCCCTGGGTTGGCTTCTCCCGGATCTTGGCTCTCATCTTCCCTGCTTCGTTTGCACTCCATTATATCTTAGCAGATGTCCCCTCCAGTATTTTGTTTGCTTTCTGGTTGTTTGCAGTGGGGGAGTTGGTTGGAATGACCTCATCTGTCATTACTGAAGCAGCTGTCCCAGCCTGTTCTGTCTCTGTGTGAGCTTGGCCACTTTGCTGTCCTCCTTTCCTCAGTTTCATCATCTGTAAAATGGGTCCTAGTGAAGAAGCTCATATTAGCAGCGAGCATTCAGTTTGTCCTTACCAAGATCCGGGCACTGGGCCGAGGACTTGCATTTTCAGTTCATCCTCCTGCTAGGCCTATGAGGTGTTTCTTGGCCAAAGGAACTGAGCTGAGAGATAGCTGCACAGCGAAAAATCAGAACTGGAACTCTGGTCTGTCCTGCTCCAAATCCTGTGACTTCTTTCCTGTCCCCCTGACAGGATGGAAGGAGGCAGTCAACACTTTCAAAAGCTCCAGGCAGGCGGTGGAAACACCTGTGGGATAGATTCAGGGGACGGTCCCTGGTGTTGGGTGGGGACTGGGCGAGGTGCTGTCTCATCCTAATTTGTTTGCTCCACAGAACAAGCTGAAGCATAAGTTGACTGTCATGTACGGTCAGATCAATGGTGCATCGAGAGCGCTGGAGGATGTGAGAGCCAGGCAGCAGGATGTGCGGGTGAGTGACAGGGCTCTACCGGCAGCCCGGCCTTGGAGGCCTCCAGGCAGGACAGTCTCAGCTTTGACCTCCACAAGGCTGTGTCAGGTCCGCTTGCAAGTGTCAGAATGAAACGTCAACCTTGCGAAACGTACAAAAAACTGTGTGCACAGGAGAGAGCCTTCACAGACCCAAACTGAAAACTGCAAGCAGGCCCAACTTTTAGGGGCGGGGGGGTCATTAAAAATTACAGTTAAAGTTAAAAAGTAGTAATATAAAAAGTGGTTAGGTTTAAGTGGGAGGAAAACGGGAAGCAGAAGTGTATGCTCACTAGAGTGCCTCTATTTCTAAAAAGGAAGTGTATTAGTTTTCTAGGGCTATCGTGACAATTCACCACAAAGTCGGTTTACAACAACAGAAATGTGTTCGCTCACCGTTCTGGAGGCCACCAGTCCAAAACCAGAGCGTTGAGGGGGCCATGCTCTCTCTGAAAGTTCTAGGGAAGAATCCTTGCTTGCCTCTTGCAGCTGGCAGTCCTTGGCTTGTGGCTGCATCACTCCGGTCTCTGCCTCCATCTTCACACGGCCTCCTCCTCCCTGTGTCGTCTCCCTTCTGTCTCTAAGAAGGACACTTGTCATTGGATTTAGGGTACCCAGGATGATCTCATCTCAAGGTTCCTGCCTTAGTTACATCTGTGAGGACTTTTGCTAGGTAAGGTCACATTCACAGGTTCTGGAATGTGGACTTATCCTTTTGGGCCACCATTCAATCCATTACAGGAAGTACAGGAAAAACGACTGGAAGCAAGTATAGTAAAAGGCTAGTAGTGCAAGTGTTGGAGAGGCAGGATTAGGCTGTTTTTTTCCCTCTAGTTTCACAGTTTTTAGAAGATTACGTTGCTTTTTTACGGAAAGAGGATTTGTGTTTTCATATTGTGTCCTGGAGCTGCAGTGTCCAGCTTTATGTGGCAGCCGTGGCCTCATTAGGTGAGATCTGGGTGAGGATGCCAGCTCTGTCACACCCTAGTCTGTAACACTTTGATCTGGTGCCGGGTATCTGAACCTTAGTTTTTCTTTTTGCACAACGGAATCACAACTACTTTCTGAAGGTGCCCTAGAGGCTAAATGAAAGGATGCACGTGAAAGTCCCTGTATGGTTGGGGGCAGGTAACAAAGATACCCCCGAAGGTCAGAGGCTAAAAGAAGATAGAAGTTTATTTTGCTCACTGTGATAGCTCAAGGCCAGACATGAGCACCCTGGACTGGTGGGCCGGCTCTGCTCCACGTGATCATTCAGGGATTCAGGGTCTTTCCTTCGTGTTGCCCCACTACTCCATAGAGGGTTTGCCTCATCTCTCTGGTTGAAGCTGGGTCACCATGACATCTTTGTTCCAGCCTGTGAGAAGGGGGACAGGGAAGAAGTGTGTTGCACATATCGCTTCTGCTCCCACTGCACTGGGGACAGCGTGCCACATGACCAAGCCTAGCTGCAGAGGATGCTGGGCAATGTAGTCTGTGGCTGGGCAGCCACCTGCCCGTCTAAACTCCAGGGGTGGTCTGTCACTGAAAGGAAGAAGAGGAGAACACTCAGGGACATTGGCTGTCCCACTGGACGTGGCAGAGCAAAAGTTGGGTAAAGAAATAATTGAACGCCATTCTCCTGCATACGGCCCCTCTCCTGTGTGTTTCTCTCTGTTGTATTTGGTTTTGAGCTATTGAGGTTACCCAACCTGTAAGGGGAGACTAACTCCTGGAGCAGTGCCGTCCTATAGCAAGATCATGTGAGACTCATGTGTAGCTCTAAGCACATTTGGTTCACACGTGTAATTAATTCTAATAATACATTTTAACTCAGTGTATCCAAAATGCTACCATTTCAACATATGACCAATAAAGGGGCACTAATGAGATATTTTATGTTCCTTTTTTTGTACTAAGTCTTTGAAAGCCAATGTGTATTTCACACTTAGAGCACATCTTACTTTGGACTAGCCATATTTCAGGTACTTTGTCGCCACGTGTAGCAGGTGGCTATGGTATTGGACAGGACGGTTTTAGAGGATGATATTTTCTAGAACAACTTTATACTCTTTCTTTAAAAAAATTACCAATTTACTGCTTCCCAGCTTAAGAAACCAAATATCACCAAGGCAGTTAAAGCCCCCACTTTGCTTCTCCCTTTTATATCCCCCTTCCTCTCTTCCAGAAGGGACCACTATCCTGAATTCATTTGCTCGTTCCCATGTGTTTCTTTATCCTTTTATTCTGTATGTATGCATTCCTTTAGTAATAAATACTGCTCTTCTGTTTCTTTCTAATCTTTATAAAAAGAGCATGACACTGTACGTCTTCTACAAGTTATTTGTCCCTCACGGGAATTTATCCCAGTTCATTAATTTTCATTTCTCTTTACTATCCTGTCCTCTGGATAACTTGCAGCCTATGTATCCAGGCTCCTATTGGTAGACATTCAAGTTGTTTGCAGGGTTTTGCTAATTCATACGATGCTGCCATGAGCATTCTTGTGTGTGTCTCTGGGGCAGGTGTCTGAGAATTTTTCTTTTCTTTTTTTTGAGGAAGATTAGCCCAGAGCTAATAGCCACCGCCAACCCTCCTCTTTTTTGCTGAGGAAGCTTGGCCCTGAGCTAAAATCCGTGCTCATCTTCCTCTACTTTATATGTGGGACGCCTGCCACAGCATGGCTTGATAAGCGGTCCTAGGTCTGTGCCGGGGATCCAAACTGGTGAACCCTGGGCCACCAAAGCAAAGTGCAGCAGCTTAACCACTACACCACCAGGCTGGCCTCATGAGAATTTTTCTAGAATATATTCCTTGGATCAAGACGTTGGGTCATAGGGAATGAGCACCTTCACATTCACCAGATATTGCCAACTTGCTCCCCAAAGTGGTTGTGCCCATTTGCACTCCCATGAAGTCCAGGAAAGAGCTCATGCTGCTCCACAGCTCGCCACCGTGGTCCTGCAGGCTTCGCTTCCTGCCAGTCTGATGGATGCCCTCTTGTTTTCGCCCTTTTAGGAGACTACACAGAGGAGGATGGAGCAGCTTAGGGAAGAATTCACGGAAATGAAAGCTCTCATCAGTGCCCTGGAGGCCAAGTCGATACAAAAGATAGAGGAAGAGGAGAAGAGGGTCAGCAGCAAGTTTGACCACAGCTACCAGGTCCTCCTCAAGAAGAAGAGTGAGATCCAGAATCTGAAGGAGGAGACTGAACTTGCCCTGAATAAGGGGGACGAGTTTGAGTTTCTGGAGGTGGGTCTTGATGAGGGCGTTGTTGAATGCTCTTTCTGCCTGGCATTCTGATGTTGAGTATAGGTGCAGTGGGGCTCTCCAGGAGTTGGGGCTGTAAGAGATCGTTGTAAGCATCCCTGAGACACACACTGTATTAGTTTTCTCTGCTGCTTGACAACTTACCACAAATGCAGTGGCTTAGAAGAACATCCACTTATGGTCTCATACTTTCTGTGGCTCAGGAGTCTTGTCTTCTTAGGGTCTAACAAGGCTGCAATCTGCATGTCGGCTGGGCTAGTGGGCTACGTTCCTTTTGGAACTGAGGGATGTCTTCCAAGCTCACATGATGTTGATAGAATTCAGTTCCTTGTGGTTGCAGGACTGAGGTCCCAGTGTTTTGCTGGCTGTTAGCTGGTGTCCACTCTCAGTTCCTGGGGGCTGCCACACTTCCTTGTCATGTGTCCCTCTCTCAACTTGGCAGCTCACTACTTCAAAGCCAGTGGAGACTTTCTACCTCCAGGAAGGCCCAGGCTGTCCTTTAAGGGGTTCTCCCTGACTAAGTCAGGCCCACTGGGATAATCACCTTTCTGGTTAACTCAAAACCACCAGGTTCAGGATCTTAATTACATCTGCAGCATTCCTTCAATTTTGCCACATAATCTAACCTAATCTAAGGAGTGAATCCTATCCTATTCACCATCCTGTCTATCTCCAAAGGGGGCGGATTATGTAGGCAGTGTACCCAGGCAGGGGGGCACCGTGGGAATATTGGGAGCCATCTTAGAATGTTGCCTACTACGTATGCCTCCACCCTCTTCTACCCATCGTCCTCCGCAAGGCCCCTGAAGTGTCTTTCTAGAGCACAGACCCCCTGCCCTTTGTGGCTTCATGTTCCTTAAGGTGGCCCACAAGGTCCTTGGTGACCAGGCCTTGCCTTTGCCAGCAGCCTCATCTCTTGCCACCCAGCCCCGGCCCGTGCTGTAATCACAGGCACTCACCATTCCTCAGACTCAACAGGCATTGCATGGGAATGCCACGGCCGACCTTCACTGCCTAGGGAATCCTGTCCTTTTTCTGGGGCAACTCCAGTTTCCCTGTCTTCCTTGGGTCCCATTGTTCTGCCATTACTGTGGTCCAGAGCATGTTACACTACAGCCTCTGCTATAGCACTAGACAACATCTCATCTTGCTTGATTTCTCATCCTTTCGGGCAGGGCCCATCCCTTCTTACCGCCCTTCTTCCCCCTGGCATGTCCAGCGTGAAGCAGAGTGCCTGGCATGCAGTGGGTGTTCCAGTGAGCCGATCAACTGGGTGACGTGTTGTGACACCTCCAAGGTCCGTAATCCTTGTTCAGGTCATGGGGAAGGTATAGGAGTGAGAAGGGAGCCTTCTCTTCTCCCTGCTCAGACTTCTATCCGTGACCGGGCTAGGTGGCATTCAGTTTCCTCTAAGGTGCTCATTCCTGTTTGTGCAGTGGCTGCACCAAGCTCTCTGAGAAGGATTCAGGCCCATGTGTGGGCCTCTTGATACTGTCTGACCTGATGTTGTCTCAAGGTTGGGGCTTTTAGTCAGACCATCCCTCTCCGTCAGATGTGCCCCAGCCGCATCCCTTGAGGCATCCCTGTCTGTTCAGAACGTGTGTTCAGAGCTGGTCCTCGAGGGATGGAGATGGTCCTGCATGCCCCAGACTTTTTCAGCCACAGCTGGAGGAGAGGAAAGAGCATTATCCATGGGGGTCCGGGGACTCGTCCCAACTTTGTCTGTGACACTAACTGGTAGCGTTCCTGGCAGGACACTTGTCATTTCTTGACTTCAGTTTCCCCGTCTGTCTGGTGAGTGACTTCCAGGGCCCTTCCCGCTCCAGATCACTGTGTCTAAAAGTGGCACTTTAACCCCGGGACCTCTGGTCTGTAATTTGAGAAGGCTGATTGGACTTAGCGCCCTTGGGCACAGGGAAGCTCCTCCCGCAGTTCATGAGACCTGAGCCCTGGCCCTGGCTTCACCAGAGTTCCCTGCCCTAACTCCCTGGATTGTTCCAGAAAGCGGCAAAACTGCAAGGAGTCTCAACGAAGCCAGTCTACGTCCCCAAGGTGGAGCTGAATCAGGAGCTGATCAAGGGCGTCTGCCAGGGCACCTTAGACCTCAAAAACGAGCTGAAGCGGTATATCCAACAGTCCCAGGACAAGAAGCCCCATGAGCCCCCTGTCTCAGGTAACCACTGGGCCCCCTGAGATGGGATGAGTCCTTTGGGGGTTCTGGGCTAGGGGGAGGGTCATGATCTGGAGCAGTGGGGCTTGAGTTCAAGGGTCCTGGGTCATCTGCCCTTCCTCTGGGGGGACGTGGGGAGTCTCTGCTTCATCCTGAGATTGTCGCGGTCCTTCCTAAATCATTTCTGGGGGCTGGATCTTATGCTGGGCCTTTCTGGATGGGCTTGTTTAGCTGTGATCTTGCGGCCGACTCAGATGGGTCTTGAATGGAAGCTGGATTGTCAGGGTATTTGGTGGGGGAGTAGCTAGTTTTGGCATCAGAGAAACCTAGAACTTCTCTTTCCATCTGTTTTCCTTCCCCTCCTATCCAATCCATCCCCCGATTTTGCGTCTTAAATATCTGCTGACCAGGTCCCTGGTCCTATATCAGCCAGCACCGGCCTGCTCTCCGTTGCCATCACCTGTGGCAGCTTCCTAAATAGTCCGTCTGCATCCGCTGCTGCAGCCCTAGAGAGCTTTTCAGGATACAAATCTGACCTCCTGGGACCTTGTCCCCCTCACCCCTTTCAGGGAATTTCCACTGTTCTTAGATTACAGACCAGACTCTTGACCTTGACCTACAAGTCCCTGCCTCAGGCCCTGTCTGTCTCTCCAGCCCTGAAGTGCCACCTCCTGCCATGCATCTCTCTGCATTCAGTTCCTCAGACATGCTAATCTTTCTGCCATGGGGCCTTTGTATGTGCCCTTCGTGCTGTCTGGAAAGCTCATACACCACCGTCTTCACAAGTTAACTCCTCTCATCCTTTGAAGATCTGTTAAAACATTACATTTCTCAGCCAACCTCCCCTGTCACCCTTCTCGTTCCCCTGACTAGGTCCCAGGATCTTCATCACCCCTTGGGCCCCTTTGTAAATCTGTCATTTTACTCTTCCTTGCTGATCCCATCTGTCTCGCATATCGGATTGTGATCTTTCTTGGGCAGGCGCTGGAGCAGTTTCCCGTTGAACACTCTCTCCACGGTGCCTAGCACCGAGCCTGGTTCGTAGTGAATCTTTGCTGTGGAGTCCAGGGGGTGCGCTTGAGTTTCAGCTCGGCAAGCCGAGTGTCCTTGCCAAAGGGCTTCTGAAACAGGTGTGCGTGGCTCTGCTGTGGAGGGTGAAGCTGTTGGTGGATTAGCCACACATACTTGTTTTCCTGTTGCACCAGCGATCCCTAGTCAAGGGGCAGGGGGAGAGAGAACACCAGAGGGAAGGGAACTAGCACTACACGCCAGGCGTCTGATCCCAGCTCCCTCGAGCGAGGGGAATCATCCCCACCATATGCTGGAAGAAACGGAAGCACAGCGAGCGTTCAGAGCTCCCGGAGCTGGGTGCTGGTGGAGACTCAGCCTTGGCTAGGTTTTAAGCCAGAGAGGAGAGGGAAAATCCCAAGCTGGTCCTTCTCTTTTCCTGTTTCTAGTTCTTGTAAATGAATGGATGGGGAAGGTCAGTGGAAATGAGTGTCTTTGCCAATCCTCTACCTGCCCGCCTGTGGCAAAGCTGGCTCTGATGGTTGCTTTGAAACAGCTGAATGAGTTGACCCCTTCTTTTTGGGACAAAGGACCATGGAGAGCATGGCGATTGCTCATACCCAAACCCTTTTGCCCTGTGAAAAATGTCCTGAGTAGGTAACACCACTGCTATCCCTGTGGCAACAGCATGGCTGTGAGTGGCTGGTCCTCTGGCTGACACAGGCGTCGCGTACCTCCAGAGGGGCACACCCATCCCAAGTCACCTTAGGTGCCCAGGTGCTTCTGGAGAGAAGTGTGGCTACAAGACCCCCTGAGGACAAGTTGGAGGGGCTGTTGCAGGAGCTCCCCTGGGGCCCTGAGGGGTCCGGCCCATCAGCATTAGATATGCAGGCTGTCTGGAGCAGCAAGATCACCCAAGCTGGTTGGCTTGAGAAATACTTAGGACACCCAAGTTCTAGCCCTGGGCAGAGCCTCCTGGAGGAGATGAACGGTGGTCCCGGAGCAGCGGAGGCTACACCGAGCTGGCAGCTCAGAGCTGCCCCGTCTTCAGCTGTAATGTGCTCTTGTTGTTAAGTGCTCCCCGACCTGCTTTTCACTATTGCCCTCTTGTCGCCTTACTCCCTGAGCCACGTTAGACTCTTTTTTTCTGATTGCCCCTGCCCATGAAATTTTAATGCCACACTTATGTGTATATCTGTTTGTGTACTGTGCTTTTATACATAAAAAGAGTAAGACTTCCCCCCTCCCCCCGAGAATCAATTCTTGTCCCCTGAGGGGCTGGGTCACCTTGTTGAGAAGGCACATGGTCCTCAGTTTCCTCATCTATCAAATTCGGACTTTGACGGTATCGACTTTGCGGGATGATTGTGAGTGACATTTACAACGGACACTGATTGTGACAGCTCTTTAAAGACCCTAACTGTGCCCCGGAACTCTTGGCTGTTGCTGCTTCCCTGAAAAGTCCGTGTGCACCGAAGAGTGATGCCCACAGCGCTGGGTGTTGGGGGGTGAGAGAACTCTGGGCTTGTTTGTGTGGTCGGTTGTGTCTGTGTTTGGGTTGTCTTTGGCAGACAGGTGTGTGGAGTCCATCCCTGGAGCAGAGTCAAGGGCTGGGATGCAGGTGGAGAGGGAACCCGTAGCTGAGCTGGAAAATGTAGAAAGGCACTTTGTAGGCAAAGGGAAGCGGAAGAGTAGGTGAAAAACACTGTAGGCCTGTATCCTTCTCAAGCCACACGCCCCCTGAGAGCTCCCTTGCTGCTGCCCCAGATCACAGGCCCCAGCCTTAGCCCGCGGGAGCTGTGGATGCTGCCACCAGGCGGAGATGGGGAAATAGGCAAGGAGTGGTGGACTAGTCACAGTGTAGATGAGACTCCTAAGGCTTGTGATGACCCGGGCGGGGGCTCTGTGCCCTAGGCCGGCCTTGCAGCCTGGGGACCTCCCAAGATGCTGGTCCAATGAGGGTGGGCAGGAGAGGAGTGGAGGGTGAGGAATTGAGGGAAGAGTGAAGACAAATGGGCCAGGTGGGACGGAGGGAGGGTCTGTTGGGGACAAGAGGAGAGAGCAAGGCTAGTCTGTAACATAAAGTCTCCTGTAGGCGGGCAGGGGTAAGATCTCAAACCCCCTTTTGATGCCAGTGGCGGGGAAGGTGGCCGAGTGAACCCGAAATGTAGCCCACTTCAACTTGAGTCTGCATCAGAGTCGCCTGGGGAGCTCGTAACACAGATTGCTGGGCCCACCCCAAATGTTCAGATTCAGCTGGTCTGGGGTGGGGCCTGAGAATTTGCATTTCCTACAGGTTCCCAGGTGATGGAGATGCTGCTGGTTTGGGGACCACACTTTGAGAACCACTGTTTTAGCTAAACTCAGTTCCCATCAGTGCACACTCTAGAGAGTTTGTAAAGACCATTGTGATACTTGGCCAGCATGTTTTTTTGCTGACTTTCTATTTGTCTTTTTTGCATTTTTTTCTTTTGTGAAGATATAATTCACTTACAGTAAAATGCACAAATTGTAAATGTACAGTTAGATAAATTTTGACAAATACCTATGTGTGTGTTACCATTACCCAAATCAAGATAAAGAATTTCCATTGGGACCGGTCCCATGGCCGAGTGGTTAAGTTCGTGCCTCCGCTTCGGTGGCCCAGGGTTTCACTGGATTGGATCCTGGGTGCGGACCTTGCACTGCTCATCAGGCCATGTTGAGGTGGCATCCCACATGCCCCAACTAGAAAGACCCACAGCTAAAATATACAACTATGTACTGGGGGGCTTTCAGGAGAAGAAGGAAAAATAAAAAATAAAATCTTAAAAAGAGGTATTTCCATTACCCCAGAAAATTTCTTCATGCTCCTTATTGGTCAGTCCCTGCCCCCTCAACCACTGATGTGGGTTTCTGTCACCACAGAATCATTCGCCTGCTGACCTCTTATATTTTTCAAGGCAAAACATACCAGCTTTATTTTTATGGGTAGAATTCATGCAAATGATTGTTATTACAGTGTTTTGAAAGTTCCATTGCATTGTGCTTTAAAATATCTGAATTCTGAAAATTTTCTTCTTCAGAAGGCAAAAAGAATACCAAGAAACCTGGTAAGTTGTGCGTTTCTGCATCTGTTGTTTCTTGAGACTGCCTGAGCACAGAACTCAGTGCCGGCAGGGACAGCTGACCTGTCTTGTCAAGGGTCTGTGACGGGGCCTGCGTTCTATGAGTGTGTTCTGGAAGAGCGGACAGGCCTGAGGTTGGAGGAGAGGACAAGTATGAGGCAATCAGATGACTGTGGCCCTGTCTGGATGCACATGTGTTGTCCCAGTTGTCTGAGTGTGTTTTGTGGAAGTGGTTCTTGAAAATCAGCTTGGAAGGGAGCAGAGGCCATCAGGTCCATTTTGTGTCATGTCCCCAATTCATGTTTCTCCTCCCTCATTTCCAGCCCCACCCAGAACATTTCCCTTTGAAGCCCTGGAACTGATAGTGGATTCAAAAGAAGTTGGCCTGGAGGGTGAGTTATTGTGAGCAAGGGGAAGTAGGGTGTCCACTCTGAGTTTGTTCTGGAAGCCACTCTCTGTTTTCTTACTCAGCTGGAGCCAAAACCACCACCCCACAGGCGAACTCGATGTCTCTCAGGGACAAGGTGCTGGAGGCCTTTCTAGCCAAGTCCAGACCTGAGCTCCTGAAGTGTGAGTACTTCGGCTCTGGCGAGCGGTCCTGCTGGCTCTCGGTCTCTCCTGCGTGGCTCTGCCCAGTTTCTCGCCTCGCCTCTGTCCAGCGTGGTCAGCCTCTCCCTTGTCAGCTACCCACCTGTCCTCTGCTTTGTTGCACCCTTGCTTTCTCCCTTCTGTCAGCACCTGCCTTCCTTCACCTCCCGTCGTAGGCAGCCTAGATTCCATAATCAGTTCTTTAAATCCTCGTCTGGCTGTCCATTCTGGCTCAACCCCAGCTGTGCTTGAACCCAGTTCATCCTTTTCTCTGGGCCCGCACCTGGAGCCAGCAGCTGTGCCCCAGATATCACTGGGCATCCCACTGCCGGCCCTCCTGCTCTGGTTTTCCTGCCGACCCCCCTGCCATTCCAAAACCTTCCCAGTTGCTGAAACCTCAGCCTTCTTCCGGTGCTCCCCAGCATCCTCTGCTTCACAGAGAAGAGAGGCGCTCTGGGAGGGGACTCCCTCATCCTCTTAGTTATTGTCATCTCATTTGATTCTATACCCTCTTCCTCCTGCACTCCCTGTCCCTTCCCAAGGCCAGTCCCTCGTCTGGGACTCTGGATCCCATTCCTCCTGCTGTCTCTGGAATTTTACACTCTTAGTTAGGCCTCAGTTATGGATGTATGGATAGATGGATTGAGCTATGGGTGGATTTGTGGATGGATGCACAGATGGATGGATAGATAGATGGATAGTTGGGCGGATAGATGGATAGCCGGGTGGATGGATGGAGGGAGGGATGGCTGGATGGATGGATGGAGGGATGGACACATGGATGGATGGATAGATAAAAGAAATGAAACTATACTACCTGTTGGGGAAAAGTTTAAAAGTGAGAGTGCTTTGAGCCCCTACTAATTGATTCCTTGGGGTAATGCTTTCTTAGATGCTGGTAGAGTCATCCTGGACTGCAACACCGCCCACAGCAATGTGGCTCTGTCAAAGAACTACACCGTAGCTTCTGTGGCTGACGTACCCCAGAGCTACCGGCCCCATCCTCAGAGGTTCACATACTGCTCTCAGGTGCTGGGCCTGCACTGCTACAAGGAAGGGATCCACTACTGGGAGGTTGAGCTGCGGAAGAACAACTGTGGGGTGGGCATCTGCTATGGCAGCATGCAACGGCAGGGCCCTGAGAGCCGGCTCGGCCGCAACAGCTCCTCCTGGTGCGTGGAGCAGTTCAACACCAAGATCTCTGCCTGGCACAAGAGAGTGGAGAAAACTCTGCCCTTCAAGGCCACGCGGGTTGGTGTGCTTCTCAACTGCGACTACGGCTTCGTCATTTTCTTCGCTGTCACTGACAAGGTCCACCTGATGTATGCGTTCAAGGTGGACTTTACTGAAGCTCTGTACCCGGCTTTCTGGGTGTTCTCTGCAGGTGCCACGCTGTCCATCTGCTCCTCCAAGTAGGCGGGCCATGGACAATGTCTCTGGCTGACTACCAGTGGAGTGCCCAAGACTCTAGTGAAAATGCTGCAGGTGGAGCTCTCTCGGAGGACTTCCCTGAGAGTCCCTAAGTTGAAAGGATGGGAGGGGAGTGGGTGGCAGGTGGGAGGGTGGGGAGATGGGATAGAGGAGGGATTTGGCCAAGGCAAGGGGTGGGGTGGCAGTGATTGTGTTGTGGGTGAGGAAGCATTTCTACCTCCCGGCGCCCATCAGGGCAGGGGGACCTCCTCCCTCTTGTTTTGGTAGCTCTCCAGGCTGCTGGGCAGCTGGATGGGGCTTTTGGGGACAAGTCCTTACTGCCCCTTTCCTCCTGGAGAAATCTGTAGCCACTGCAGGATCTTTCTTGCGTCCCTTGGTGTATGTCCGGTTGCTCTCCAGAGTGGCCTTCAGATTTTCGTGTTTTGATTACTCTCTATAGGGCTATTGTACTCTATAGATTTTTTAAAATTCCACAGTCATGGGATTTCAATGTTAGTCAGCCCCCACTACCCACGTGTCGGGCGTGGGGTGAGCGCTCAGACTCCTGGTTATTTTCGGTGCTTGAGGGAAACCACGACAGCAGACCTCCTCCCAGACCAGACTCTCCCCCAGAAGCGTGTCCTCCTCCACTGGAAGGCAGGCCTGCTTCCCTGGTCTCCTGCACCCCTCATCACCCCAGTCGATGGTTTTGAAAGGTTTAATCAAACAGGAACCTTTTCAGCCTAAGGCTTCAAAGCATGATCTGAATCAGCCAATGCTGAATTTGCGATTCGAGGTCAAGGTGACCCAGGTCCCGTGTGGACGGAAACCCTTCCCACTCCCCAGTGTTGTGAAAGGCATCTCCGTAGCCACCCTCTGGCTGCAGCTGTGGAGCCTGGCGGGAGGCCTTCTTCCCATAGCCTAGGCTTTGGGGCAAGGAAGTCCTCAGGGCAAGAGGGACACTGACCTGGGTTGATGGAAGTGTGATGATTTTGCTCTTAGTGTCTTGCCTTCTTTCTTAAAGATTGGCATCTGGGCTAACAACTGTTGCCAACCTTTTTTTTTTTCCCCAAAGATTGGCACCTGGGCTAATAACTGTTGCCAATCTTTTTTTTTTTTTTCTGCTTTATCTCCCCAACCCCACCCTGTACACAGTTGTATATCTTAGTTGCAGGTCCTTCTAGTTGTGAGATGAGGGATGCCACCTCAACGTGGCCTGATGAGCGGTGCCATGTCCGCACCCAGGATCCGAACCCTGGGCCGCCACAGTGGAGCACGCGAACTTAACCACTCGGCCCCAGAGCCGGCCCCTAGAGTGCCTTGCCTTCTTAATGATAACTCTTCTCAGTGACAGCCTCCCCTCCCCAGGATTGTGAGATGCTGGACTGGCTGGTTAGATACCACTGTGGCCAACACAGTGGAGTGACAGCTAAGCCCAACATCTGAAGCCTGTGTCATGCAGAGAGACCATGTGTAGTTGCCTCAGGGACCATCCTAGGTCACCTGCTGGGATGACAACCTATGACCAAAAGGGCCTTCTGGCAGATCTCCTGGGAAACAGCAGCATTCCTGTTCATCCTTGGCCATGCACTGCAGACCCAGCGCTGGCCCTTGCATGGCCCTGTCACCGGCTCCAGCCCCTTCTGCTCTCTTCCTTGTCTGAGGCAGTTCCAGATGGGGGATTGACCAGGCTAGGGTTCAGGAAGACTTTAAGGACCAGGGAGGGAACAAGTTACAGTGCTCAAGCACAAGGGGCTATTTTACCTGCAGTGTTTCTGTGCAGTGAAAATAACCCCAGTCCACTAAGGGCAGGAGTGAATGGACTGCTGGAATTTCCCAAGCTCCTCATATCCTGATGTTGTCATCCCCAAAGTGGTAGAAATTTTACCTCTTATGGTGAAATGAGTCCAGCTCTGGGCTTTCCAAGAGGAGAGCTCAGGTCAGGCTCCTTGTGATATGCAAAAGAGGTCATCACTGGGGAAGGATGGGGGACCCCAGACCTTCTCACATGGAAATTTGAGAACATAACGCATCTCTGGCCTTGTGCTGGAATTCCAGGGCACGCCAGTCAGTCCAGGAGCACGTGGCCCTCCCGGCAGATGTGTTGATCTGTGTCCTCTCCCAAGGACTTTCACTTCCTTGGGAGAGAGATCATCTCTGTAGGGAAGACATCCCTGCAAGAGCCGAAATGTGGTTCTTTAAAGTTTTCTTCCTTTGTTACTGGGAAGAGGAGTTCCTTGGGGATTTTCTCTGCTTTTGGAGATGATGAAAAGCAACTTCATTGATCTTCTGAAAGAAAAAGCTGTCTGAAGCCAGTTCATACTTGGGAAACAGCCGGGCTTAGGGGAGGAGAGTGCCAATGACTTATCCTCGGGTCGTGCCGCGGCTCTCTTCTGCACAAGTAGGGGCCACAGAGAGGCCTCTTCTCTGGTGAACACACAGCTCAGGATGGGGAAGACTCCTCCTTCTGTTTATGAGAGCAGGTAGGTGACCCAAGCCGAGCTCTGTGACAGGCGCTTTGGAGATGTCAATCGAGGAGCGCACCTCGCGGTCTCCAGCCTCACATTCCCTGGCCTTGCAGGGCCGCTGAGTCCTAGAGTGGGAGGAAACTTTATATCCCTCTGATTTTTCATTTTGCAGAATATGTCTGATGGGGAGGTATTGGATGACTCTGCTCACTGCTCTCCCCATCCCATCGTGGAGGAGATTCCTCCTGGAGTGTGTGAGGGATCAACCCTGAACCCTGGGGACGTGTTAGAAATTCCCAGAAACACAAACATAAAAATACTCTTCAGGTATTAGGGACTGTCCCAGTCACTCTGACATGACAAACCCAAGGTCAGGGTCAAATCTGTATTATTTAAGATTTCTTGGTTGATTCCCCAGCTTTTTTCTTTTTGAGGAAGATTAGCCCTGAGCTAACATCTATGCCCATCTTTCCCAGTTTATATGTGAGATGCCTGCAACAGCATGACTTGATAAGCGGTGTATGAGTCTGTGCCTGGGATCCAAACTGGTGAACCTAAGGTTGCTGACTTGGAGTGTGTGAACTTAACCACTGCACCACCGGGCCAGCCCCTTGGTTGCCCTGTTTTAATTACTCTGAAATGGATCTGTAATCTATAACTAATACTGACATTGTATCTCTTACCTATTCAGCACCCCCCCCCGAATTGATTTTAATTAATTAGGAGTATTTGAGCTGTTATTCCTTCCGCTTATTTTGTTAGATTTGGTTCTTTAGGAGATAATCAGGGCTGTGGACACGAACCTTTGGAATCCCACGAGAAATACCAGGGCGAGGCTGATGACATGCCTTAGAAGCCTTGAATGTAATCCAGTGGTGCTTGGTGTTCTCTCTGGCATCGCAGTGTGTGTAGAAAATGGTACTGATCTGTATGCTGGAGTCAGCCAGTGAGGTGCCCACCGTGGGAGGCTGCTGCCCAGGGCCTCTGGAAGCTCACCCCCAGGGAGTTGAGATTTCAGCGTGCCTATAGCCCATGTGAAGACTGCTGTGGGTGCAGCACCCCCTGGGAAGCTTTTGATAAAGAATTCTCAGAACGATAGGATGTCCTTCTGGGCTTTGCTTCAGGATAATCTGAGGATGAGCGGTATGGAGAAGGGCAGGGGGGTGTGCATGAAAGGGTAAGCCACATGCAGATAATCAGCGAGATGCTGATGGGAATGTGCGGGTTCGTTATATTCTTTCTATCGCTGATTATGCTTGAGCGTTTCTATAATAAAGATTTTTAAGAATGACATAAAAAACAGCTGAGGCCAGCAATGGGCCCTGTCCAGTGGATTTTATTGCTGTTGAATAGGGGTAGGAGTTACAGGAGGTGTGGACTTGAGGTTGTTGTAGAATAAAGACTTCGCCCGGCCTTTGTCCTGGTTCCTGGGGGGAGATGTTAAATTCTTGGAATTTCCCAAGTAATAGGGCTGTCTGTTATTCATGAGCCCCTGGATCACACTTGAGTTTAGGCCAAGAGGTGAGATGACTCAGGATTGGGCCTGGTCACAGAAAGATCAGCCTTGGAGGGTTGGGACTCTGAGCCAGCCTGACCACCAGGAAGGAGAGAGGGACTAGAAATTGAATCGAATCCTGTGGCCAGAGAGTCAGTCAGTTATGCCTACGTAACGAAACCCCGACTAAAAACTCTGGATCTTGAGGCTCCACTGAACGCACTGAGGAGCCAGGAAGGTGATGCACCCTGGTTCCGCAGGGAGAGAGTGTGGAAGCTCTGCATTTCGCTCCCTCCTAGACCTCACTCTATGTCTGTCCGTTTGGCTGGTCTGATTTGTATCCTTTACAATAAAACTGTAATCATAAATATAGTGCTTTTCTGAGCTCTGTGATTCTAGTGAATTACTGAACCTAAGGAAGGTCATGTGCTATAGACTGAATGTCTGTGTTGCCTGGAGATTCAAATGTTGAAACCTAACCCTGAATGTGAGGGTGTTCAAGGTGATCAGGAAGGTGATAAGTTCCTGAAGTTGGAGCCTCGTGAATGAGATTAGTGCCCTTATGAAAGAGACACCACAGAGCTCCCTCACTCTTTCTGCCGTGTGAGGACAGAGCAAGAAGTCAACTGCCTATGAACCAGGAAGCAGGTCCTCACCAGATACCGAATCTGCCAACACCTGGATCTTGGACTTCCAGCTTCCAGAACTGTGAGAAATAAATGTGTGTTGCCTAAGCCACCCAGTTTATGGCATTTTTGTTATAGCAGCCCAAACAGACTAAGACATCATGGGAACCTTCAGGGTTTGTAGCCAGTTGGTCAGAAGTGTGGGTGGCCTGGTGACCCCTGAAGCGCGGCTGGCATCTTGAGTGAGTGCAGTCTTGTTGGGACTGTGACCCTTTGGCCTGTGGAGCCTAATGCTGACTCCAGGTGGTTAGCAGCAAAATTGCATTGCAGTACGCCAGTTAGTGTTAGAATAGAGGTGGTGGAACGTGCAAACTTCGGATGAACCCTTCTTGACCAACAGTGAATAAAACACACTGTTCTTAAAAGCAGCTCCCAAGTTTCTTCTCTCTTGTGTCAAGTCCCCAGGGTGTAAAGTCCTGGGTTTTGCTCACTCTCATCTTGCCTCCCCCACTTCTTGTGATTTCTTCTTCCTCACTGTCACTGTACCCAGAAAAATACTCAGTATGTCAGTTACAGATTTGTCCTCCCATTTAGAGATGCTGCTTAAACTGTCATGGGATGCTCTTCTGTTCCAATAAAAAGTTCAAGACAGTACTTTCAACTTCTCAGTAAAGCACAGCAAGGCTGTGAGTGCTGGTATGTGTGTGTGTGTGTGTGTGTGTGTGTGAGGGCCTAATTTTGAAGTCACTTGTGCCCTGCTGGAGTGACCCATTCATAATATTGGATTCTTTCATGGGTCTTACATCTTCTTCTTGCTACTTCCTAGGTGCTCTTGAAATGCCATTGCATCTTAAGTAATGGATGGATCCCCAGCCTTTATTGACCCTGGCCTGGTAGCTTGCCTGCATTTTACTGTGGAACAATCTTAACTCATAAACTGTGAGAAGGCTCTAAGAAAGTGGATCTAGGAGTGAAGGGGAAGAGAAGAGATAGCGATGCAATAAGAAAGACTCACTGAAGGGGTAATTTGGGTGAAAATGCCTAATGACTGATGATTTCCCACGCCCATCTTTTGTGACAAGATTTTCCGTGTTGAACAGTTACTTCCTCTCAGAAGTTCAGACAACTGAGTTTTTTTACTTTTCCCCATATGCTCCTGGATTTTCTTGATTGAAAACGTAGGTGGGGACGCATCTCCTCCCAGCTGGATTTTGAAAAGTTCCCGATGGAATGTCCATAGTGGCTCCTGCTGGATGGTCCCCAGTCTCCTCCCTCAGAAGTTTGCTGATGAGTGCTGATGCATGGGGCTGGGGAATGGTGCACGCTGTGGTGCTTCTAGGATGTCCAGCTGATGTGTCCACTTCATGGGCTACAGTGTCTAATAGTCCTGGGAGACACCCCAGGCTCATTGGCTTCTGAAGAATTTCCATGGGATCCCCATGACTGACTTGGTGGGTGGACACAAATATAATGTGACTTTAGGTCCCTCTTAGTTGATTGTCTGACTCTATAGAGATTTCCCAA